ATCTATATAAAATTTGTCTCATTTTTCTATCTAAATGGGTTTGACTTCCATTGGGACAACATGTTCAGCTTTTTCACTGAGACTTTTCTCTTCTCAATGCAATGGATTCTGCGGAAGAGATTATTAACACTATCTGCATTCATCACATTGGAATAGGCTTAATGCTCTTACTTCACTTAGGCAGGTTCTCCCATTTATGCCCCCTGACCATTACATTCCCCAGACCAATCAGGTTCTATTCTTGCTTCTAAATTTTTGCTATAACACTTAATCTCATACTATGTTCCATTGAAATAGTTCTTGTGCATATATACTACTCTGAAGCCCCTTAACAGTTTCTTTTAAAATATTCAACTGTTAATATATAATTTTTACTGTAAACTAAAACATAATGTGCAGAATTAAGATAGTTTAAAGATCTGAAAGCCCAACCTATCCTTAAGCTTCTGGGTTCCAAGCAAACATTTCACCCTCATGGAACCACCTTTGCTCCCCCTTCATGGAACTAAGCAAATTACTCCCTAATTTGATTCACACTCGTACCCTGTAAGTCAAAATAGTTTGTCTGTCTTTCAACTTACAAAATATATTTGTATGACTGCATGCTTCTTTCATGCATGCTTATGCATTTTTGAGATCTAGCCTCATCTCTACACTATAGATCTAGACAGCTTGTCTCCATCATTGCAGAGCACGTGGTGAGGAACAGGAAACCAGGCTGAAGGGGTGCATCTATGTGAGTCCTACCTGCCATGACAAATCCTGAGAACTCTGTGGGCTTCCCTTCTACAGGTTCCCAGTGCATGGTTAAGTTAAGGCGAGAGTTAGCATGCTGCCTGCTACTTTCTGGCTCAATCTTGGTCCTGTCAGGGTCTGTTCCACATCCTCCACACCCTCCACACCCATCAGCCTGAAATGAAGCTGATTTTGTTGATGCCCAGGATCATACACCTGCCATTAAGTTCCCAAATGGACTGTGCTCTCTTGGTATAGTCCTAGCCAATCAGCTTCTTCCTTTTGGAATCAAAGCACCTTTTTTCCTCCTAGTTATTGTTTTTATTAGTTTATTCAATTTTCCTTTGCTATGAAAATACTGTTAGAGGTTTGTTTTTAATAATTTGTTGGAAGAACACAATTTTTATGTTAATTTCTATTTGTAGTTGAGATGCTAATTCTTTTAAGATGTTTGCCAAAGTTGCTAGTTTGTTTTGTTTTTTCACTTTCAGAGATGAAACTGGAGTTCACTTAATTTTGACCTGGCTTTAAAAATACATAACTAACTAACTATCTATCTATCTATCTGTTTATCTACACATCTATCAATATCTAAATAGGTACCTATTGAAATCCATCTATATCTATCTATATAGATAGACCATAGATGGATATAGGTAGATAGATAATAGATGGACAGATGATAGATTTATATATCTCCCAGATGCTACCATTTCTTCTAAGTACTATGCTCAATGTCTATATGCTTCATGGTGAAAATCTACAATTCTGTTTCTCCTTTTCGGGGGCCTTTGACCCTCATGGGACATTTGTATATTTTACCTTCTCTCTCCCACCCTTGTGAGACCGGGCACCCACAGAAGCCTAAGTGAGGAATTATGTGATAAGACTCTGAGGAGATAGATCTATCCTAGAGAATGCGTGTGATAGCTGCAATGATCTGTGTCATGTGTTTTTCCTTTTCTGCCTGTGACAGCCTATCAGTGTTTCTGGGGTGTGACCCACACATGTGTGGTAGATGTCTAACCTCAACATTCCAGGGGCTTTCTCTGCTTGTTATTGACCTCGCAGCCTCCTGAAACTCACTGTAGTCGTAGTTTAGGCATTCCCACAGTGGATGCCTCAGCAGCTTCTGTTGCTCTCAAACTGATCTTTACCAGGAGCCTCTGCCTTCTGTCATTTCAGATTGCAGGTTGGCAATGTGCCCTCCCATCTCAATTCTCTCATGTGGCCAAGAACTCCCATTGATTTTCAGTTTGTTCCCCATTCTTCTTGTAAAACAGGAATAATGACTCTCAAGCTCTTTATGTGTCAGAAATAAATCTAACTTGGTTAAAAAAAACAACTTTGTTTTAAATCATATTGGCATTTCTTAAATGCACCTGGCTATTTTGAATGCTTGCTGGTATCTGGATGAACAAATGGGGAGAATTCATTACTTCAGCTGACACTGCCATCCTGTCGCCATGCCATTTATTTTATAGAGGTGCCAACAATCAAGACTGTCCCTAATCCTGGTTATTAGTGCAATGAGGACTATTTCTTTAAGGACAGTCTACTTTTGTTTATATCTACTCATTGTGATGGGTCAAATCTGAAATGTCTCCAACAGGTTCATGTTTTCAAAGCTTGTTTCCCCCAAAGAGGCTGCAAAGAGACTGTGGAAGGTAAGGTCTGGCTGGCAGAAGAATATTGACAGAAGTGGCCTTTTGAAGGTTGCACCCACTTCTGGCTCTATCCTGTTCCTCGCTTGTGTTTCACTGTGACACAGAAGTAACTACCAAGAATATCACCATTCTGCATTATGCCTTTACTACCATGGTAGACTGAAATAGTAAGCAAAAGGAAACCGTTCTCCCTTTAAGGTTTTTTTTAGCTGGCATTTGGCCACAACAATTCAAAAGTAAGCAACAGGCATGGTATGGGTCTTTGGCATCTAAATTCAATGTATCAGGAGTTTATAATAGTCAAGCTTGTTGATGAACACCTTTAATTCCAGCATTCAGGAGGCAGAGGCAGGCAGATGGTTATTAGTTCCAAGCCAGTCAGGTCTACATAGTGCGTTTTAGGCCAGCCAAAGTTATATAGTAAGACTCTACCTAAAAAATAAAAATAAAGCGAAACCAAGCAAACAAACACAGAACTTATCACCTGCCCTCCCTTAAAGAAGACCATTGCCTCAGTATTTGCTCCCCCAGCTCCACAAGGCAGTATAGCAGCTGAACTCTGTTTATCAGCCAGCTCTTCAGGAAATGGGAAAAGTACTACTGATAAATGTGAATTCAGATTGATGTGTTCTTCCTCACTTTATGTGGGTTCTTTTCTATAAAATCGTAACTCCCTAGGTCATGTTTTCTAGGTTATACTGTATGATATTCAGGGAAATTTTATCTTTTCTGAAAATATTCCTGTTAATTAAAAGTACAGATGGTGTTGTGATTGCTATCAGAAAGTTTTATCTCTTAATATAATGACTTTTCATAGTACTCGAATATGGTTGATAGCACCCAGAATCACTGCAAACCCTCCCTTCCCTAAGTTGCTTTTGTCCAGCATATGATCATAGGAACCAGAAACATAACTCCCATTTCACCCCTTCTGCCTTGTAACACTAACAAGAACATCAGATTTCTGTAAAATAAAAGTAATATTGGTTATCTTCATATTGTTCCTGATGGATAACACCTAATAATTAACGTGATTATTAAGTGTGTGTTGTTTCCTTTAGTTTCACATATCGAATAGTTCCTCACAGGTTTGCTTTATTATTCCACAAATAATACACAGTCTTACTAATTACCATATGGATGTTTTTCAAGGTGCATGTGATAATTTTATTAATGTGCATTGATCTTTCCACTAGGTCAATGGTTTTTATCTCTTCTTCACTTATATTTATCGTTAGACATAGTCTACAGTTTCTACTTTGGTTGCTCTATTTGATTTAACATAAAAATTATGTTAGTATTATAAACAAAGTTTACATCTATTTTCTTTTTTAAGTTCTGTTAAAAATGATTAGAATTCCTGTGATCTCATCTTTAGAAATGGGGCATTAGCATATGAAATCACCCTACATGTATTTCCTTCCTGGCAAAAAAAAATTAACTTTTGATCTTATTTGCTCAGAGGTCTTAAGGCAATTAATATATTGTTTGTTCTCTAATTATAAGATACCAAACTTATTTTACAAAGACATTTGTTTCTTAATATCAGTTGTCTTTTTCTTCATTCTTGTTAGGAACCCATTTATATAATATCATCTTGATGACTTATTCATTGATCTGCTAAATAGTCTGTTTTTGTTAATTATTTCTGTTATTTAATTTATGTTTCTATTTATTTTATTCTAGACCCTTAACTTTTAAGTCTAATTCTCATGTTACTATAGCATTTGCTTCTATCTTAATGATATTTTCTCATTTTCTTTCTAGTTTTATTACTGGCTTGCTTTATGAGTTGTTAAGTATGGACATGATCTATAAGCAAGTTATTTATTAATATAGTTTTACACATAAGTTTAATGTCCAAAGATTAGATTTTACTAGGAATGTCTTTCAGATTAATTTATATTAAAATAATATTGTCGAGGAACACAAAATATTTTCCATTTGTTGAGATTTGTCATGGGCTTAACATGAAATATTTTTCCCTTGAGGAGGCCCCATATACTTGCATATAATGTGTGTTCTGTAATCACTGGAGTCTTATCAATTTGAACATTATATTGGTTGCATTAAGTTATTCAAATATCTTTCTACATCACTAATCATTTAGGTTCCCTCGTACATGTGCAATTGATGTATTAAAAAAAGTACAAATGTGAATTTTGAGGACTAGAAATATAGCTTAGTTGCTAGAGTGCTTGCCAGTCATACACAAGGCCCTAGGTTTCATTGCCGATACCATAAAATAGTGGTATAGTGGTGACTGCTTGTAATGCCAGCACTCCTGAGGTGGAAGCTCTAGGATCAGAAGTTCAAGGTCATCCTCAGCTAAATAGTGAGTTTAAACCAGGGATATGTGAGACTGTCCCACCTCCAACCCCTAACATGCTCCCTCATTCAAAACTTGCTAATTCTACTGTTTATGAAGATTTATATTTTTGTCCATGACATTTTTTAGAATTTATTTTAGTTTGTGTTTGAGTGCTTGTCTGTGTGTATGTATGTTTACCATGTACATTTAGTGTCCACAGAAGTCAAAAGAGGGCACTGGATGCCCTGGAACTAGAGTTACAGAGAATTGTGAGATACCATGTGGGTTCTGGGAAATGAAACAAGGTCCTCTGGAAGAGCAACAAGCTCCCTTAACCACTGATATACCAGCCCCCTTGTCTACATCTTTAAATGTGTGGTTTTTTTAATTTTATGTTTTTATAATATGGCTAAATCATTTACCCCTTCCCTTCAACCACCTCAGCATCCTAGTATCTATCACAGTTTTTCTTTTCAGAGATTATCAGCAATTCCATTTTGAATGTCTTCCTTATCGTAAAACCAATTTTTAAAAACTTTAAGTAGATCGTTGGATGGTTAAACTGTACCTTAATGCTATACTTTCACCGAGACATGTTTGCCTTGGTGGTGCTGCAAAGCTGTCATCTTCGCTGCAGCCTGCTCTTGTGTCCCCGTCTGCATTGCTATGAGCTCCTTTTCACTGATGCTCCTCTGTTTTAGTCCACAGCATCCAAGGGAGGTGTGCCATGCATTTGGGAAAGTTTGTGGCCACATTATCTTTGATGTTTCTCAGTTTCACCACAGGACGGTCCAGGTGAGGTTTCCTTGTAATGAGTATATTTCTGGTTCCTCTAGTATTTTAAGTACAAAATTAACCTTTTCAGAAATCACAGAATCTCATGACTGACAGTGAATTAAACTGTTGCCTTGTTTCTGTTCATTTCATCTCCTCATGTCTCTCAGGCTTTTCTATATTCATCTTTCATGTGTTCAGCTTTAATCATTGTCATAGTTTTTGCTTGTACGATGGTTTTGAGGTCATACTTCTAACTCAGGCTTCTAGTTCATTAGCTTTTAAAAAAATAAAAAGGGTTCCCCTACTGTATTTATTCACAGTGTGTTTTAAGCATTTTATTCACTGAGATGAGCTGCATCTGACTGTTTTTCCCATGCACAACCTCAGTCTATGACTTTTGTCCTAGTCCAGCCTCTTTGGCCTCACTCCGGACAATGTGTGCATATGTGTTCAGCCTCCTAATGATTGGCAAGGTCTTGTTGGCTTGCCCTTTTGTGGAATCTGCTGCTGGATTTCTGCAGGCTTTCATCTGTAATAATCCTTTGAGGCTCACATGGAAGGTTTCCTAGGCAGAATATGGTTTTGTTCCCTGAAGCACTGTGAAGAAGTCCTTAAACTTCATCTTCATTTGAGATGTTTAAGACCTGTTGGGAGAGTGAACCCTATCAGTGTTGCCCAAAAACCTCCAAGAGGGAGTCTTCATGCCCAGTGGAGAATTCCTCCACCAAGAGGTTCTTGGTCCTCATCTTCCTAGTGGAATTTTCCCCACTTCATGTTGAGCAGAGTGCTTTGTGATTCAACTTCTGGTGATCCCTCCCCTTCAGATCTCCCTAAATTTACGAGGTGTCTCTGGCTACCAAAGGAAATCATAGTATCTGGCAAACCCAAACATGAATGCACTGTGCTTAACCCACAGAACATTTTCTGTGTCTTACCAGGTGTATGGTGTGACCCAGTTCGCCAGAACCCTGCAGCCTTCAATTTGCTAATCTCGATGTGAGAGAAATAGCATCTTGTGATCTTACCTGTGCAAGAGAAGGGTTTGGTCCTCTTTTGTCCTGGAGCACAGCTTGTTAGGCACTTGCTCCAGTTCTTGTGTGGGGTCTTAATGTGTATGGTATGTGTGAGGGTGCACCTGCTGTGTGTGTGCATTGTATAGCAAATGTGTGTGACATATGTATATGGGTGCACATGTATATGTGGGTGGGGTATGTGTATGAGTATACATGTGCATGGTATGTGCGTGTGTTCATGTTTCTGAGGGTGTGTGTGGTTATGAACAACTGAGTTCAGCCTCAGGTGTTTTTCCTCAGGCTGCATCCACCTTGTTTGAGACAAGGTATCTCATTGTCAGAGATTCTCCAAATAGGCAAAGGCATCTGGGGAGCAAGCCCAGGGATCTGCTAGTGTCTGCCTCCCCAGAGCCAACATGAGCACCACACTTCCCATTTTGTAGCCCCTGTATCTCTTTCTCTTGTCCCTCATTGTTCTACCTAAGACATCAAGGGTATTAAAAATGTACAACCAAAAGAGGTAAAGGGTCTTTTGGATGTCTTGGAAGTTTAGTTTTAGTTAGTAATATAAAGTTTTTTAACCTTAATTCTGCAAGTGAATGAACAATTAACTCTACATGAAGTTGCAGGGTAAATATATGAGATATAATCAGATGTAGGCTCAGTCTATGGCCCATTGGTGAGTCCTTGATGCTCTACAGATGCCTGAGACTCCTGGCAATGTGATGTCTCCTAAGCATAGATGTAGCCAGAATCAGTGTTAGCACAAGGCGGAACTCCACACAAAAGCCCCTGTGCCTTTGACCCCATCTCCTCATATAGAGCTCACTTGCCGGACTTCATCTTTGATGTTAGCCTAGTTCATTTTTATTTGTGTACTTCTGATTTCTAATTATACAATTACATTTTATAGACTTCCCTGGTAGCCCTCACTATAATAATTTGGGTCATTAAGACATTATGAATTTGTCAAAAGTTCTAAGCTCCCAAGAGGCAAAAAGGGAATAATTTGGGCAACAGATAAAGTAATCTGCGCCTAGAAAGATGGCTTACTGGTTAAGAGTGTTTCTTACTCTTCCACAGGACCTGAGTTCAGTTCCCAGCAACTACATAAGGTATATATCTGTGCTTTCTTATGGTGTTAGGAAGAGTATCGTTAGACTTTTCTTTGAGCTACCAACCAGCTGCCAAATAAAGACTTATTATTAATTATGAATGCTTGGTAACTTAGGCTTGTCCCACTAGCTGTTTCTATTCATGTATATTTTGCCTTGGGGCTTTTTACCTTTCTTTCATTTTATCTGTCCTACTTTTCTGCTTCTTCCATGTCTGTCTGGCCCCTGACCACTCCCTGGCATCTCTTTATCTCTTTCTCTTTCTTCTCCCCTCCCACCTCCCAAACCTCAATTCCTCCTCTTACTTACTCTCCCTGCCCAGAAGTCTGCCAATACTTCCTCCCTCACCATTGGCTGTTTAACTTTTTATTGCACCAATCAGATGCCTTAAGCAGGAAAGGTAAAGCAGCCACACATCTTTATATAGCTAATTAAACAAATACAACACATCTTTGAATAGTTAAACAAATATATCTCAACAGAAGGGTCAAAAACTATTTCATTCTGAGGAGCTTCAGGGCCATCGAACCTAAATGTGATGTATCCTACCCAAAAATACTGGGGTGGGAGATGGCGTTGAGTGACATGAAGGGGAAATGAATAAACCATAAATTTCACTGATAAACATCAGTGTGGCTCATTAGTTCTAAAAGATATAAAATACTAGTGGATATTAGCAATGGGCCAAGTATGTCACTGGAAAACTTGATCTATGACATATCTATTGGATAGGAAAATAAGAAAGAATTTAAGAGATAGTACAGAAACTTAGACTAAGAGTATCTGTCTCAGGCAAAGGCTTGCTGTGCCTTGTCTCTGCTTGTCTCGCCTCATCCAGGCTACGCTGAATTTTGTCTCTGTATATTTCTATGACACTTGAGAAAAAGCAGCTCTGGGGAATACATAGATCAGAGCTGTTTTCCTTTTAAATTCAACCCATAATAAAAATAGATAAAATAAAAGTGCATAAAATTATAAAGACTTATTTTAACCTGTATGGCTTGAAGATAAGAATAAAGTTATTATTAGCCTATTAATAATTAGAGGTGTATGCACGTATATTTTATTTTATGTATAATATATATGTATACAAATACACACATATGTGTACACTTATATAGATACATTCATGGCATTGTATGATATGTGTGTGTATATATATATACATATATATATATTCACATATGTGATAAACATCAAGACTATGTTCCTGAATTGAAAATATATTCCATTTCTTATTCTATATCATTTTCTGTATAGAATAAAAAACAAGGATTGATGCATTGGTTATAGAATATTATATTATATACCAAGTCAATGTCATTGTAGAAATAACTTCAAAGGATTTTATAGAAATAATTTCAAAAAGAGTAAATGCAAAAAAAAAAAAACCAAACAAACAAAAGGAAAGCTAATTTCCAGAAAAATTAACTAATTCAAATGAACAGTTTTGGAAATGTCTAATTAGGCAAATACCTAAAATATGACTGGTTAATAGTCCAGAACATGTTTAATTGTTTTTCCAGTTTAAGACCAATTAGCTATGGTTAATTTAACAATAGCTGTTACCATATGTAAAATTTCAAATTAGATTCATAGATATATACCACCACTTCATTTTATTGCTGATTTTCCCTTGATTTAATACCAGTTTGGAAGAAACAACTCAATTTCCTAAATACAGTTTTGACATTTTTTGTCTTCAGTAATTCCTTGAATTTAGCTTGTTATGCTTGCTTAACCACAGCAAAATGCAAATCTTTCTGCCAGAAGGGCACTCACCTGGCAATCTCTCATCTACATATGTAGATATTTGATCTCCTCTCTAAGAGCCTTCCCTATCTAAGCTCCATGCAGTGGAAGTTATTTGCATATACAAACTCCTGCTATTCTCATCTGTATCCACTAGGGGCGCAAGGGGTAAATCACTGTAACTGCGTTTAGCTTTGACTTCCTTGCAATGCATTGTAAGTGTGATGGGTCCCAAGATTTTATAATAAACTACTATAGATTTTAACGAGTAGTATTTAGTTTGAAGAACTGTTATGTTACTGAACAAAATCTTATATCTGAAATGGAAATGATGGTCTGTGTTCAACCAGTAAACACTAATACTGGAAGTACCAAAGTAGCTTTAAATAAAATAAACTTTTAAAAGCTGAGAGAAGAGGGAAAGCTCAAAGAGTTATGGTGCTTACCATGCAAGCAAGAGGTTTGCATTCAAATCCTCAGCACCCACAGAAAAGCCAGGCATGGTTGTGAAAACCTACAACGCCAGTGTTGTAGGGCAGAGAAAGGAAGGTCCTAGAACATAGCCAAAAGTATGAGCTCCACATTTAATGAGAGACCCTATGTTGACAATGATGATGATGGTTGAGAATGGCACAGGAAGACACGTGTGGCCTGCATATACAAATATGTGGGTGTATTCACTCAAGTGTACTCCTGCATAAACCACACACATACCAAATCTGAGACAAGAAGCAGGTAACTACCCTGCCCATGTGTGTTTTTATACTATACCCCTTGGCTTTTATACAAATCAGATATTAAAACCATTTTTGTGTTTTCTTGACCAACCAGAAGAGCAGTTGCTAAAAATCAGTGTTGTGAATTGTCATGTTTTATAGTGGTGTGTGTGTGTGTGTGTGTGTGTGTGTATGTGTTTGTGTATATGTGTGCTAGTATTTATGTTGAGGTGAAAGTGTATATGTTGGGGTATGTGAAAAAGAATGGTCACATCCTCTTCAGTGTACTATAATACATCTGTTCTGTTCACTGGACAAATGGTGAGCACTCATAGGAAATAGTCCTCAGCAGGGAGCTAGTTGCTTTTAATGACCTCACTGGTGCAGACCAAAGCATCCTGCCTGTGCAAGTCCAGTCAGTACCCGTTGTCAAAGTTCCAGCACACTTTGCAAGCCCCTACCCTCACTCTGGTCGCAGAGACATGGCACATTTCTTTCCTGGAGGCAGTTCTGCGTCCAGTAATGCAAGTGCCTACCCACAGTTCCAGAACTGAGCTTTCAGCTGAAGGAAGGAGCCCACTTTAACAGATTAGAGTGAGGACATGATGGGAGCGATGATCTCTCTTAGATCACAGTTCCCAGAGTTGAGAGCTGACTCTTCACATGGAAGAGTGAAGAGCTGGGGAGTATTGGGTTCTTGACAGGCCAATGAAATGCAAAGTGAGGTTCCTTTCCCCCTTTGTACCCATGGCCACAGCAGCAAAGAGAGCAATCTCCTTCAACTAGATCCCAGTCTGCATCCATGATAATTTCCCTCAACGACCCTGATTCTTACCATGATGGGATAGTTCTGCTCTGTCTCTGACCAGAGTTTGCACTAGAATATAATGATGGTGGCTTCTTACAGTGACCAGTGGTTTGCACGACCTGAAGGCAGAGTCCAGAAGTTCCCAGGCCAAGGTACTATCTGAAAGTGATTTCTCTTTCCTATGCTAGGTACTTTCCTATATTTTTGTTTCACTTCTGTTTTAACTGAGATCCAGTAATT